GACTACACAACCAAACTGTAACACTATTCAGACATTCCAGTTCTCAATAACCTTATATATAAAAAATACTTGGTTTCAAAAATGGTAGAAATGTGATTGATAAAAAAGGTTATCTTGAAAAATTGAACAATTGATTTTATTGGAATTCAAAAATTTCTCAATTTCCCTTATCAGGAGCAAGGTGTAGAGTTTGATTCTAAATCTACCCTTAGGATGGTTGGGGTTGGTATGGCGAGAGGGTTAGTTCTGGTGGCAGAACTCCTGGAGGTGGGGTGTAGGCTAGGTATGCTCTAGTCTCTTTGCTGTGTGCCAATTGGTCTGGAGATTTTATGCCAACACATTTCCAGGGCCCAGGAATTGCCAGTCCATGTTGGAAGACTGCACCTCAGGAATCTCCTTTGGTTTCCACTTGTATGGTATATGAGCTTGTTATTAGCCCCTTATATCACCTGCAAACCCCATAATTTCTGGTCTCTGATTTAGTCTCCCAACGCAATCTCTCTTGTCACCACCATTTTTAATTTCTGATCACGCACTTGTCTTTCATCCATTTCTGAGCCCTGGGTGCCAGAATCTGTGTACCCTTTGCAGAGCTTGTGCTGAATCTGGCAGCTAAGAGGCATGTAGGGCCCAGCCACATCAGGGGCCCAGTTATTCTGTTGGGTAAATCAAGACCAGCACTGACACCTGTAGGCCATCTGCCAAGCTGCAAGAGATGGGTTAGTCTGGGGTTTATGGAGAGTTTGGGAAACTGGGAATTGGGTATCTAGAGGACCCTGTTGTGTGCTGGAATGACGCCAGACCTGGTACAACCAAGGGACTGTTGGATGCTTGAAGAGGGAGGGAGCCAGGGATAAGGTTTGTGCAAGGACCCAGGGAGTGCCAAACTGAGTGGGCCCAGGTACCCAGTGGGTGCTGCACCTGCCTCTGGACTGAGAGGGGAGAGCCTGTCTCTCTCCAGAATCTCTATCCTGTATTGCCTGGGCAAAATGCCCCCAGTTTCTGACATTCCCCAAGATTGCTAAGCTCAGACAGGCACACACCAACCTAGTGGCAAACTCACGGATCTGGGTTTCAGTTTCCATAGGCTCCTCCAAACCGTAATCTCAAAATAGCTTCTGGATTGAGGACAACTGATGAACTCCAGTGGACAGGCTTTTGGTCTTTGGTTTTGTCTTGTTTTGTTTGTTTTTTCGATTAATGAGTCATGCAGTCTCAGCTAGGGCAGACTACCCCTCAAGACTCGGAATATTTCACTCTGATCTTTGGGGAGACATGGTATTCCCTCTGTTTGAGTTCTGGGTAGCTGAGCTAAGAGAAATGCTGCCTCACACTAACCCACCATCTTCCGTCTCCTCAATTCAATTTCTTTGCTGAGTTTTAAGTAGTTTATTTGTCTCTTTATAGTTGAGTTGTAATAGGTTTTATGTATTTTGCATACTAGTTCCTTAAAGAATACATGATTTGGAAAATTCTCTCCATAATGTGGGTTGTTTTTCTCTATGTATTGCTTATGACATTTTGGAGTATTGTCATTTGAAATATGAAACATTTTAATTTAAATGAAGTTGAATTGATCTACTTTTTCTTTTTCTTTTATTGTTTCAGTGTTTGTTATCATATTTCTTGCTTCAGATTACCACATCCAAAGCTGTGAAGATTTACACTCATGTTTTCTACAAAGGATTTTATAGTCTTGGATTGACTCTCTCATTCACTGGTTTAATTTTTGCATATGATTTGTAATATGAATCATCTTTTATATTTTTGCTCATGAATTGTCTATTGTGCCAGCAGTATTAAAAGTAAAATAAAACTACTCCTTCTCCAAGAAAGCAAATTGATACCTTTTCAAAACTGAAAAGATCATAAATAAAAAGATATATTTTCCTTTATTCAATTGATATTGTATGTCACATTGATTTTTAAAACTTATATTCTTGAGATAAATCTAACAGGGTTATTATGTATACAATACTATATTTTTACAACTAATTTCAATATCCTAGTATTTTTTCAAGGAAACTGTGTGTGTGTGTGTGTGTGTGTGTGTGTGTGTGTGTGCATGTGTATACACAAATATATAGAATACATATATTCTTCAGGATATTAGTCAGGTGTATTTCTTTCTTGTGCAGTATTTGTCATGTTTTAGTATGAGAAAAATACTGACATCATTTAAAGGTAGATAAGCTACAAAATCATACCTTGTTCTGTTTTCAGGTTATTCTCTTAACTGAAGTTATGAGTCACCTGAGAGAGTAATACAATTTGCAAGATGGACAATTCATTCCAAAAATAGGATGGGGGATAAAGTTCTAATGAATTTTTCAGGATACTTGGGCTTCCTTGTCAGTTTAGTATAGTTGAGGTGCATTACACAAGGGTACTTCATGCTCATCCACAGTATCTTCCTCCTGGGGCTCCACTGACAGCTCACCACAAAGAGCAGCACAGGAAACCACATGAAGATGATTTGATATCACAGAGTGCAAGTGGTGATCTAGAGCTGCTGGGGGGAGAATGGCAAAGCCCTGAAACTTTCTTCTTATGGGAAGCAAAAGTTCTGTGTCACTAAATGAAGAACTGCAAACCTTTACTTTAGGGTATAGACAACTCAGTGCTTCTGATGAAATAGAAGCAAAATAAGTCTACCTTTTGCTTTTTTCTCTTGTTAAGAGATGAAAAAATTATCTATCAAGGAGTTGGTAAGAAAAACACCTTTGATCTGGGAACCAAAACGAATACTAATCTCAGTGGTCTGCTCACCACTGAGGAAGTAGCATAAAACAGCTATCAAACATCAACCACATGTATATTTCAGTTGGCTCCTGTGGGGAGAAGCAGCACAGATGCTGAAAACATTCACCCTGTAAATTCAAACACAAAATGTATTTGCTCCCACAATGAACTTAACACCAAGTAATAAGAATGATATCTGAGGGAAGAAAGAAGCCTTCAACTGCTAAGGTTATTATAAAATACCATAGAACAGGTGGTTTAACTACAGAACATTTTCCCTCACAGTTCTTAATCCAGAAAATCAGAGAGGAATAAATCCTAACTAATTCTATTAGGCCAGCATTACTCTAATACCAAAACCAGAAAAAAAGACATTGCAGGAAAAGAGTACTACAGACTAAACTTTCTCATGAATATAGATGCAAAATCCTTAATAAAATATCAATAAATGGAGTGCAATAATGTATTAAAAGAACATGACCAAGTGAAATTTGTCCCAGGTTTTCACGTTAGTTCAACATTTAAAAAAAATTAAAGTACTACATCAGTTCAAAACGATAGAGAAGAAAAAAAAACACAATTATATCACTATATTTCGACAAAGTATTTGTCAAAATCTAATGCCGATTCTTTTTTTTTCTTTTTTTAATACTGGGGATTGAAATCAGGGGTACTTAATCACTGAGCCACATCCTCATAGTTATTTTGTTTTGTTTTTACTTACAGACAGGTTTACACTGAGTTGCCTATTGCTTTGTCATTGCTGAGGCTGGCTTTGAACTTAGCATCCTCCTGCCTCAGTCTCCCAAGACATGCACCACAATGCCCACCTGATATTCATTCTGGATAATAAATAAACTCTCAGCCAACATAGAGTGTGAAGTTCTTCAACTTGATAAAGAATTTCTACAAAAGAAACCTGGAGCACAAATCATACTCAAAGGTAATAATCTCAAAGCGTTCTCACTGAGATAGAAAAAAAAGACAAGGAATTCACCTTTCATCATGCCTGTTAAACCATCCTGGAAGTCTTTGCTAGTGCAATAAGACAAGAAAGGGGAAATAAAAGTATACAGATATGGAAGAAAAATAAAACTCTCTTTATTTGTAGATGAAATGATTATCTGTGTAGAAAAATATCAACAGAATCAATAACAAAAACACTAATTTCTGGAACTAAACAGTGATTACAGAAAGGTTGCAGGATACAATACTGTTACATTAAAGCCAATCACTTTCCTATTTACCAGGAAAGAACATGAGGAATTGAAAATTAAAAACACATTACCATTAACATAAGCACCAACAGAACTAAGACTTAGATATAGATCTAATATGTAGTAGATGTATAAAAGAGAAACTACCCAAATTTAATTAATAATAGCAAAGAACTAAATAACAGAGATACTCCATATTCTTTAGTGAGAATTCTAAAATACTTAATGGATATTTTTAAAATTTTTTTTTTGAGTTTTAAATAGAGAATCATTCTGACTAGCATGACAAATTTTTGAATCATTCCAATTTATCCTACCAGCATGTGAATCATCCCTTTCTCCAAAGCTGAGTACAAGATATTTTGAGAGTGAGAGAGATCACATTCATATAAATTGAATTACACTATACTGATATAGTGTTCCATTTCATTATTATTTTTCACTGTTAATCTTTCATTGTGCCTAATGTATAAATTAAATGTAATCATAGGCATGTACATATAGGGAAATATAACACATGTGGAGTTTGGTATGATCCAGTTTGGCATTCACTGAGGTTCTTGGAATGTGGTACTATGAATAAAGGGGCACTATTGTATCTTCTCAAATAATAGGATGAAGTGAGAAGTTGATATCACAAATCACAACTAGACAATTCACAAATTTGTCAAAATTGACCAACACACTTGTTGAATGAATGAAAGAAGAAATCAGAAGGGAAATTAAAAAAATATACAGAGATGAAAGAAAATGAAATCACAACATGCCACAATGATGGAATCTGTGGGAGCAGTGCTAAAGGAGAAAGTTACACCTATAAAATGAAAATAAAAAAAATACAAACTCAAATCAACGACTTAATGTTACAACATGAGGCCATAGAAAGAGAAGAACAAACGAAATCAAAATCTAACAAAAAGATGTAAGTAGTAGTAAAAATTAGAGCAAAGATAAGTAGAGACTAGAATAGCAAGATAAAACTAATGAAACCAAAAGCTACTACTTTGAAAAGATCAACAAACCTGACCTGCCTTTAGCAAGATAAAGTAAGAAAAAAACAAGAGAAAACATCAATTACTAGAAGCTTAATTGAAAATGAGGCACTGTTGCAAATTTTACACAAATATAGTATGAAAGTATTATAGAAAATTGTCAACCAAAAAAAATGAATGACTTAGGTAAAATGAATAAATTCCTAAGAACACAAAAGCTACCAAAATGAAATATGTTGGAATCTTGTCTCTATTGTCTTTTTGTTTTTTTTCTTTTCTTATATAATAGTACTTCTCTTTTTGCTAGCTTGATGAAACAGAATCATATAAAAATCTAGACATATATTTTACTAAAGGTCAATCTTCAAAAACATTTTAATTCCGTGATATTTATTGTTGAATTAAGCTCATTAACTCTACTTATTTTAAAAGCAGCATGATATACATTTTATAAAACTGTGAATTCATTTAACTAATAATATACATTTACCTTAGTTAAGAATGACTTTCTAGCCCTTCGTATAATTCTAAGTTCAAATTTATTGTTTCAAAAATGTTGTGAGTCTCTCTCAATTATCTTTTTATAAACACTTTTGCTGTTTAGAATCAATCTGACTCACACTTCCTGGCAGTCCACATGCCCTTTTACTTGGATGTTCATTTGGTACTTTTCAGATTTCTCTATAATTTGGCCAAGTATGATGATTTTTAATTATGGAAATGTACTAGTGTTTTCAAACTGAGATTGCATCTCTCTTGTTTTTCTTCTATAAAATTTTATCTGTTATATCTAAATTCTTTCTTTTTCACCAATTTTATTTCTGTTCTTCTGGGATTTTATATAATTAGATGCTGCCTCCCTGTCCTTCAGCATTTTAGTGATATTTTCTCTCATCTTTTCCCTTGCCATCTTGTAAAATTTATTCCAAGTCACTAATATTTTTACTTTTTGTTTTTTCATTGTTTAATGTCTTCCTTAGTAATAATTGGTACTTCCCTGATATGAGTCAAAGATCCAGCAATAAGATTAATACCAGAATTCTGTGGCTATAGAAAAAGGAACAAATGGGGAAATGCAAGATCACAAAATTCACTGTTTTGTCAGGAATAAGGATCCATGGCATAGAACACAAAATGTCCTATTTAAGAAAAAAAATATTTAGAGAACCTAATACAAGTACTCATAGTTTTTTAGCCAAACTAAACAAAATAATATGTTAATAAATCAAGTTTAATTATGTACAGCTAAATCCCCCCTTATGTCTATGATTGATCAATGGTGAAGCTGCTTTATTAGAAGATTCCAAACATACTATGGATCTTTTAGAGTGATCCAAAACACATAAACCACGTCAAAATTTTCTGCCAAGTGGTGATCATCAAGGCTTGTTGCATTGCTGTTAATCAGATATGACCACAAGTGCAGCATGTGTTTCTTTTTGTCATTACAACCATTTGTGTTTGTCACCATAGTGATATATAATAGGAAGGAAAATTTTGCCGTAACAAGAAAAAACATAAGTTGCTTTTGAACTAAGGAAATGGGCTGGGTTGCAGGTAAATAGTAACTAAGAGTTAACACTATGTGTGCTGTACTACAGGGGGTCACTCAGTGCCCAATCATTATGACTGGATTCATATTTCTAATAATAAGCCTGCTGTGTATAATGTTTTTCATTAATAAAGTGTTTTAGAAACACTGTGGCCAGAAGTAGATAAAATTCCTCTACTCTGATTTTAATGGAGGAATAATATTTTATTGGTTTACAATCCTGTTAAATCTCTATATCCAAGCCAAGAAGGTTTAATTCAAGAGGGCTTGTGAGAGCCAATTCAAACCTTGTAAAACAAAGAAACCAAGCAAGGTTGGGAGACAGAGAGGGAAATCTATAAAAGTTATGAACACAATTAAGGTGAAATGGAAAAAAAAGTGAAGAGAAATCCTCTCAGAAGAAAGAAATGTGAGAGAACATAGGCGGAAAATTAAAATTAGGTCCATGTGCTTATAGTTACATTGCACTTTCCATTTAAGAGTTAAAAAAAAAACCTTTTGCCCTTAATTTATTATCTTGGAAATATCTCTCAAGGGAATTATTGGTAAACAGGAGAAACTGTAAAGTGTAATTTCTCAGTCTGTATAACTAACCACATAAAATCAGAGACAGGAAATGTAAATATTCCATCCCATTTTTCCTAGAAAAAATCTTAGGAAATTGGTGGCTTAAAGGTACAGCTCTGTTACCATCTATACGAAAAACATACTTAGGGACCAGATTCTGACTTCTCAAATGCCCACAGAGTTAATATCAGCTTCTACTGAAAGTCTTCAACTGGGTGCAGCTGCCATGATTTTTCTCCTCCCAAGGGATTAGACCACTGTCACACAGGCTGTTGTTTATTGGGTCAATCATCTCTGAAATGCTGTGGAACAGAGACAGCTTCATGGGCATATAACCTATAGAATTGCACAGTGCTTTTTAATTTTTTTAAATTTATATATGACAGCTGAATGCATTACAATTTTTATTACATACATAGAGCACACTTTTTCATATCTCTTGTTGTATACAAAAGAATTGCACAGTGCTCAGGATCAGAAGGGCCTCATGGTTTGTTGAATATTTCAGATCCATTTTGAACATAATGGTTTTTAAATTGATTTTTAAATTTTTACATTGACTAAAATTATTATTAATTTTAAAATTTAAAATATATGTGAATGAACACATAAAATAAAAGATTAATTAAAATAAAAACATCTAAGTAACAAACACACCAAGAGAACATAACTCAAAATATGAATTGAAGTGGTCTTGTGGRTAAATTAAATTACACTAACAAAAAAGAATAATGCTTATTTTTCAACCAGTTCATGAAACTGTGGAAAATAAGGTTTTAACTCAGGCTCTTCCAGGTAATCTGAGTCCTTCTGAACTCTAAATGAAATTGAAATTTTCTGGAGGGCTATAACCTCAAAAGAGAGTAACCCAGAAGTAATCTTAGCCCTAACAAAATTACCACTCAAACAAATTTCTTCTGATTGTATCTTCATTAAGAAACAAAAGGTTGACTTAATGCAGAAAGATTATTTCAAGTCAGAACAAAATTTTCAATTTAATAAAAATCTAGCATTCAATCAAACGTTTCAGGTATAATAAGGACAGGATGAAAGAAAGAGGGAGAAAACAGGTAATAAAAACAGGATTATAGATGATAAAATTCTACCATGAGCATGCTAGAACGTTAAAAGAACAAGTTTTGAAACAACCATTTCTGTTGAGAATATAGAAAATTACAAAGAATATTTATTTCTCCTTCTTCAACATTGAGAAAAAGGTAGATGAGTTAAAAAGGCATAGCTTTTTCTTCCTTTAACTTATTTTTTTAATTGAAGTCATGTGTTATCCAAGTAATCCTGATCCCAAGTAGACAATCCACTGAAAAAAAAAAGGATATAATATACAATTTGAAAGAGTTGCCTCCTTGCCAGTTTTGAATTGTTGAGGTCAGAGACACAGRGTACTTCACACTCAAGTATCTTCCTCCTGGGCTTCCATCAGAAAGATCAGGAGCAGCACAGGAGATGACAAAGAAACCTCAGTCTCACAGAGTTGATCAACAACTGCTGGTGGAGAAAGGCAAAGTCCTGTCTTCTCTAAAACTTTCTCTTATAAGCAGCGAAAGTCTTAAGTCATCAGATAAGGGGAAGAAACCTTTTCACTTTAGAGTGTAGCAAAAAGCTCAGTGCTTCAAAGGAAGGAGTAGAAGCAAAATAAGTGCCTCTTCTTTCCAAGGTACAAAGATTCACTCTCTTCTAAAGGGTGAAATGAAAACTCTACCTCTGAAGTAAGTGCAGAGAACTGTCTTGGCTATGAACCAACACTACTAACACCAAACCGAAGGCTCCTAAATATTGAGGACATGGCACAAAACCACCACCAAAGATCAACCTCAGACACATTTCAGAGTTCAAATGCCGTGGGGAGCAACACAGAAGCTGAGATGATCCACATCATTAGTTCAAACACAAAGGTATTTGCTCCCAGTAGGAAAAAAAAAAACTGTAGTCCTTTTGGGCTACTATTAGATATAGCAACTGAATACCAATGTGAGCACTTATTTCTCAAAGTTTTTATTCAAAGAATAATAGCAAAGGGAATATTTCCTAACACATTCTATGAGGCAAGTATTATTCTAACACCAGATAAAGGTATTACAGGAAAGGAAAATTACATTCCAACATTCCTCATGAATGTAGAAGCAAAATTCTTAACAAAATATATTAGTAAATAGAGCCAAGTGAAGTATTAAAAGAATTACATACAAAGACTGCCACAGTCCGGCTGCAGCAAAATAACCGGGGGGTGACGAACAACTTGTGTAGATTGATACAGCAGGAGTGGGAGCCATTTATTGTAGGACAGGAGGGGTATATATATACTCCACACAGCTTATCTTAATTAACATAAACTAGATACAGCAGTCAACCAATAAGGAATCTCCACACTAAATGGCTCGCTGGCGTTACTTCACAAACCACTCCCTCTGGCAAAATGCCAGGCGCCATCCTGACTTGTTTACAGACTCTAACAAATGACTGAGTAGGATTTGTTCTACTTGTGCAAAGCTAGTTCAACATTCAAAGCCCAATAAATATAATCCATCACATCAACAAGACAGAAAAGAAAAATCACATGATCACATCAATATATGCAGAAAATCTTTTGAAAACTTCAACACATGCTCATGATAAAAACAACAAACCCTCAGCAAATTGGGGATATAGGGGGAACTTCCTCACTTGATAAAGAAGTTCTATAATAAAACCTACAGGTAATGGTAGGAAAAACAAAGATGCCTGCTAAGATCAGAAACAGACTAGGATGAAGGATATGCCCTCTCAACATGCTTTTTAACACCATTGAGAAGTCCTTAATAATGACATAAGACAAGAAAAGGACATAAAAGTTGTACAGATTTGGAAGAAAAAAAAATCTTTGTTTACAGATGCAATGATTATGTGTAGAAAAAAATCAAAAGAATTAACAACAAAA